TAACGAGATGGTGTCGGTTACTTTTATGGCAAGATTGCCATTACAGGCATGTAAACATTATTTTGATGGGCTTTCAAATTGTACCATTATAATGTAACATTATCATCTAATTGTGACGTTGTGAATCTATGGTGAATCTTATCCTATAACACATGTGTGACATATGTGACACGTGTATGTTATGCAGGGATAAAACTGACAAAGTACATATATATATATATATAAGATAGGATCTAACTTGAGTTTTCATTTCATACCGAGTTAAAGAAGTAAGCCTTTGGAATTTCTGTGTTAGAGTACATCAACTTTTTACTAAAGGAGAGTAACATGTTAAAGATCACTTTTAAATGAATTATTACAAATACACAGGAACCTTTCTGGTGTCATCCTTGAAGACAGCTTGGTTTCATATTGTGTACATGCAATGTTATTTTGTAATAAAATTTGCTAGTTTGTGATGTCACTCATTGTTTTTCCATGATATCATAGCATTTCATTAAGGTGTTTTAAAATGCAAAACTAAGACTTTGGCGTACGTCCAGTTTCAGTTCTGTGACGACTGCCATAATCACTTTATAACACTATCTATAAAATAGCTTGAGTCCTGCATATCATTTATACCTCCTAAATTTACCTGATAAGTCTATACCTACTAAATTTACCTGATGATAAGTCTATACCTACTAAATTTACCTGATGATAAGTCTATACCTACTAAATTTACCTGATGATAAGTCTATACCTACTAAATTTACCTGATAAGTCTATACCTACTAAATTTACCTGATGATAAGTCTATACCTACTAAATTTACCTGATGATATACCTACTAAATTTACCTGATGATAAGTCTATACCTACTAAATTTACCTGATGATAAGTCTATACCTACTAAATTTACCTGATGATAAGTCTATACCTACTAAATTTACCTGATGATAAGTCTATACCTACTAAATTTACCTGATGATAAGTCTATACCTACTAAATTTACCTGATATAAGTCTATACCTACTAAATTTACCTGATGATAAGTCTATACCTACTAAATTTACCTGATGATAAGTCTATACCTACTAAATTTACCTTATGATAAGTCTATACCTGTAAATAAGTCTACTCATAATTTTTGATGTTTCGCCTTAACGGTCATGTGGGATTAAGATTTCAAATTTTGAACTTGAGAAGAAGTTGAAAATGTATTTTCAAGATGGCAGCCATGTTTACCTGGATAAGTCTATACCTACTAAATTTACCTGATATGATACCTACTAAATTTACCTGATGATAAGTCCAACCCAAACTTACAAACTTTGGTCAGGATCAATTCAGGTAAGTTTCAGCTCAATGAGACATGCAGAACTTGAGAAGAAGTTGAAAATGTTTACGACGGACAACGTACAGACAAAAGGCGATCGGAATAGGTCATCAGACCCTTCGATCAGATGACCTAAAACTGCCAAAAAATGCTATACCAATGTCCTTTAATAAGCTCTGACCGATGCTTGAAGTCAAATATAACACTTCATCCTCTGTACCTATTACAGGATAAGTGTGTCACGTAAGTTAAGGTGGTCCCAGAACAACTAATATATTGTTGAATCAGTCCATGCTTCTAAACTGAAAATTTAATGCTGATATGAAGTTCAGAGTGAACAGAAACACCTACACTACTTTAGTTGGAAGTGAAATGGTTTACAGAGATTATCTACCATCCTATCACAGATGTGACCACTTGAGAAATTATTAGTAATAGGATCACCAACACTTGATCTTATTCAGCCTCTAGAACTTTTTTACCATTGGTACAGCGACAAATTAATTGGGTTGTTATACCACACACTGTGAAGGTCAGTAAAGCCAGGCCAAAGAACTGAGGAGGAATTGAGGATACAATGTCTGAAATTCTACAGAAATGGTGATGGTGCTAACATCTGCAGGTTAACTATCAACTATGATCAAAATCTATCATAACTATCAGACACAAAATAAATCTTTCTTAACCCTCAGATATAAACAAAATCAGTCTTGCTGTCAGACTAAATTTAGTGTAATTAAAAGACAAATCCAGTTTAGTATCATCGTGTTTTCAAAGTTATACAATATTGTTACTTTGGCCTTTAACATTACCATATGGAGAGATGAATCATCAGACTGTATGCCATGTAAAATTAAGAACAAGGAGTCGGCATATTACTTGGTCCTCAAAGGGGTGGTCTTATCATAGCACAGTGAAATAAGTTAGGTTTATACGGATGGTTTTATTACAAGAAATTAATTCACTGATGAATACAGGAAACATAATATAATCAAATTGATAGACATCATCACATTTTAGTAAAACCATTCAGCTTCCATTTTTGCCCCCTTTCTCAACATCCTTTGGTATTTTCCTTTAATGAAAAAATGTAATGCCTCCAATATGATTCATAAATGATTCTGTATGTTGCAAAGTTAGCAAAAATTATAAATAGTTTTAACCAAGTCATTTTCCACTTCTTTGTCACCTGTTTTCACATGAATCAGCATTATTTTCAACAATAGTACAGAAGGCATAACAAAACAATCTATATTTTAGACTTGAATGAGATAGGATCTAAATCATCCAAGCATAATAATGTCTAATTATCTCTTTTTTTGGGCATGTACTGCATTATGTTACTTCTTACTAAATAGCGTAAATGCAAGAGTCATACTAGGACATAATACCCAAGAACAAAAACACATAATTCTGGTGGGATGTTCTGAAAATATTCTCCAGCATCTCCATAAATTTGTTTTCACTGGTGTTTAACCAAATTCAAGTTATATTTCCTCTTGATTAAAATAACAAATGATTTGAACAGGTGTTCATTTGTATTTGGGATATATTCAAATTTGAAAGTCTATATTTGAAAAAAAAAAAAAATTCTCCAATTTCATTTCTCCTCTTCCTTAAGATTCTTTCTTCACCATTTCTACCTTGTTGACGTTCAAAAACAGAGAAATTCTCAAAACAGGTGGTGAAGACAATGACACACAAATAATACTTTCAGTATTACACATCATACTCCACATACACAGTATCTAATTATTATTCTGTGTAACACAAAATGACGTGTGTATAGATAGATGAGTGTTTGTGGTGAAAATAGACAAAATGAACATAGTTTAAGAGTGTGGTGTCATGATAGATCTGACCTTGCAAATAACTTAAGATCTGAGTTGTGTGGTTTGATCCCAACATGGGGCTATTTGTATTTCTCACAAATCTGAGATGATGAATCATTCGGTGCTGTCATGGTTGTGTCATTTGGAACTTGATTCTGCTTGTAATGGATAGCACGGGCCTACTATATTGATGTTTTATTAGTCTACAGTTACAACTACCCTGTCTCAAAATAAGGAATTGTATTGCATCCCTTATTTCATCTTGTGAACACATGTCATAAAAGTGTTAATGTACGTGTTTTGGCAGTAATCTGATTTCAGCGCTTTGTGTGTTGAACATATTACACTAAAAATGATATGCATATACACACCTCCAATTTCTGCCCAAAAAATCTTTAAACTTTTTCCGTATAAAGAGGCTTGACAATGGAGTTTTATTTTTCATGTTATATACTGAGAAGGGTAGACTTAATTCATAATATACTGAAATCCCACTAGTGAGAGTAAATCTACTTCCATAAGACAGAGGAGATAAAACCAACAACACAAAGTTTCCCACAATATTTTTTTCCAGCCTAATAAAAAAAATACCTCAGTCAAACAAGACAACCTCTTCAAATAACAAAAGATATTCACAGCACCTTCAATTAATTAACAGCAAACATCTGAAAGACTCCAATTTAATTTGTAACTGTCCAGAAAGCATTCCAGGGTAAACCCTGACTACAGATTACTGTCAAGCTTCGTTTCCTTGTTACAGTTTTAACCAAAAACACCAGTATGACCTGACACAATAATGAATAATTTCACTGGAAAACTTCTAACCTAAAACGCCAGCCTGGCCTGGACTAACCAGAGCACTGACACAGGAATGGCCCCACATTGTGTTAGACTATAAACTTGTGTGTGTTACATTGAATTTTTGTTTATTACTTTGTAGATATATTGATTTGCATGTGAAATGTAAACAAACATTTCAAATTGGACCTCCATATTTGACCTGGTGACCTTGACTTGTAGTTGGTAAACTTTCATTCCATTCCACTATGTCTTCACAAAATACTTAGCTGTGAAATATTTTAAAATTTGACCTTGTCCTTTGACCTGATGACCTTGACCTGTGCTTGATAAATTCTTATTTGATTTAAATCAATTCTGTTTCATTATATCATAAGTATATATTTACCACTAACATTCAGATATGATATATTTTTTTTATATATTCCCATTTCAATTGATAGTTATGGTGACCTTGATCTTTGCACATGAAAAGTAAATAAGAGCTAGCACTTCCTGTGAAGAAGTGAAAGAGAAAGTCAAAGTGTAACAGAAGATCCTTCGGAGAAATCAATTTTCTATCAATAGTAATAGTGACCTTGACCTTTGACCTAAGGGTCTGGAGATCTCTCCAATGTGAGCACTTGATAAAGCATTGGGTAAAGTTTGAGTGTAATTTGCCCAAAAGAACTTAAGATATGGTGATCTGATATGAAAAAGAGAGCAAGAAACACAGACATGTATATTTTAGGTACCAGTGTCAAAGATGTGGGGCTCTAATAAAGACCCATTTTAATCGAAAAGTTTTAACCTTAAATATTGATCCTGCCATAAGCAAAGGGAGGCAAACACATAATCACCAACTCTCGAGTCAGAGGGTGGGCTTATGAAACGACAATTAAAGTGTTTGCGCTTAACTGCATGATATATGAACTGGTTCATTATCAGGTATGGCCCAATTACGTCTCCATGACAGCTTTATTAGGACTTCCACTGGGGCAGCTAAAAACTACAATAGTATAGATTTTAAGCCTTATTAAAGCAGAACTTAAGTGCTAAGGGAGATAACTTACCTGTAGTAAAAGTCTTTCATCTCCCCATATCACAGACTTTTTCCAATCAATCACCTCAGAAAATGGCAGTTCCCAACCATTACTCAGTAAAAATGGAATGCTCCCTGCCTGCAGGGCTTCCAAAAATCTGTCAAATATGTACAATGTAAAGATACACAAAGGCACAGTATGACATTGACGTGTGAACATTCAGTATTCAATAAATTCCAGTTCATTCATCATAAACCTTCCTACTTTATGAACACTGTAATCAAACAATATTTCATGTATCCTTGATGTTTGATATCCATATTTGCTTTAAACAGCTCTTATAGTATTACAAACCTAAATTCTACACTTGTGAATGTACCATGAAGTATTCTCTAATTCTGAAACTCATTTAATTCACAAGTAATGTGAAATTTATATCACACCAAATATTGGTCTACATTCAGTTGTCCCTATTCAAAATTATGTCCAAGGTATATTGTTTCAGAAATTTGTTCCAAAATTAAAGATACAAATTGTAAAAGATTTGCAAATTTTTATTTCATATCATGAATCTAGAATCTATGTAGAGTACAGGACAACTGGTACAGGGCAAGAAAAGAAGGAAATATTAGGGTGATTGTTCATATACCATAAAGTCTACAAAAACACAAGATCAGTATTAGGGAAACCAGAGTTCAATTGTAGGAAATCTTAATGACGAATAAAGAAACCAAAAATTTTGTTACAATTTCTTAAGAAGGAGTACAGTTACAGCATTAGAAATGAGTTTTATCAAATGCTTCAAAAGAGAGAGATGGTACACCATACTTAACTAGTAATTATCCAATAAGGTCAACAAACTTAACTGATTGTAATGTCAGCAGCTATTGGTTATTACATCATTAGCATGTGTGATAAAATAACGTCATTTTCTCATAAATTTACAACTTTCATAAACAAATGACACACCAAAGTATCACAAAATCTGATCATTCTGTATAACACAAACTGGAAAATAATCCTAGACTCAAAGTCATGAAGGGAATCTTATAACAGGAAAAAGAAACAGCATTTCTGTGCAGTTCTATCAGGAACAGCAATAATATGTGTGGGCATGAGCTCATTGTCAAAAAAATATGGATATACATATAAACAGTACATCTGGGTTCACATTTTAGATTATAATACACGAAGAAGCACAGTAAATTGAGAGAAACGGAGAAAAATATTACAGCAGGAAAATGGAATGAAAGGATGAGAGGAATAATATGTGGAGAGATTATAATCTGAAGTGGAAACTGAGAACGATGGCAATTCTAAGATAACTATGCACTTACCTATAGGAACCAAGCCTTCTCCCCCTTGGCACAAGTGAAAATGTAGCATTGTATAACAGCTTTTTATAATCAGTTCTGAAAGATACAAACAGGTGAATGCTTCAGTTTAATCAAAAATGTTTATTACTCATACACAATTATAAAAAATGCCCTACATCAGACTTGATTATTGAAATAATGAAATTTTAAACACTGACAGTTGTGATGTTGGATTTTTATCATCAACAAATACCACATCTATTTCTAATATTGCTTTTCTCAGTATTTATCATGTTAACTGTTGGTAATGAAACCACATTTTACAGAAGAATGTTCCTAGTCTTGTCAACATGTAGCCAGAGAAAATTAAGGATTGACAACTTCAATACTTACTTCAGCAATAAACATATAAGGTAACATGTTATACATAGAACAGAAAAACTGTAGCAAATATAATGAAGTGTTTCTTGATATTTAGCACTTAACAGTATTCAATGACAACAAATTAATGTTGCATCTATATATGTTTGTTATAGACAAATATTTACAACGACTAGACAATGTACAGATACAAATTTCATTCTTAGAAATAAAAAAATTGTCAAATTAAGTATTTCCTCTGAGAGAATCTAGCTTAATTTGTAAATATTCCATTAATTCCAGTTCACTGCCTAGAAGTCTCATACAGATGAAAACATCTTGACCATTTTTTTTTTCATAAAAATAAAATTACACAATATTATTTTTCCTAATTAGTTTATGAAAATAATTATAAAAAATACTCTGCATTATTACTACCATCACTTCAAAGGCTTGATTATAGAATAGCTTTTTACAATAAATATAATGTCATTTGCAAGATAAGCAAACACACGTGTGAACCTGATCAGTAACACTGATAGCAGCATCTCCATACTTGACACATTTTTTTGCTTTGAGTTTGAGAAAAGAATACACATCCTTGTTCATTGTAAATGATTTATACTCTAAATAAAGAGACATAAAATGTAGGTGCAAACACCAGTTCTATATGTACACCAAGGTAATAAGGGGAAAAAATCTTTAATGAAAGTTTCAATATCATTAGATTTTTAGTTTGCTTGTCTGTTTTTGAAAGGAAATTAAGTAAGGCATTCATATATACCTGGAATAAACTAACAAAAACTCCTCAACCCTTATATGGAAATGAAATGGTATTTTAATCAAATTAAGTAATTAAATTAATTAAAATTCCCTTATATGATTTAATTTTAACTTTTATTTAAAAAAAAATTCCTGTTAACAAAGAATTCACATGGAAAATGTCTCCTTGTAATATCTTTAGACACATTTGTGTCGTGGTCCTCTGAGCACACACTGTGCACAAATAATCAGGTTAAATACTATACATGTCATACTTTTCTGATAATAAGCCTATGGCTAATCATAAGCCCACCCATAACCATTATACTTCAGTAGTATTAACTCCAAGCCTGGCAATAAGTCTGCTCATATGCAGTAGAACAGAATTAGTATGGTATTTATCCATTAGTAAGCCCAGGGCTGATAATAAGCCCACTGATGTACGCATATATCACTGTTTGGTACAATTATTACAGCATTTATCTAGTAATAAGCCCAGGTCTGTAAAAAAAAAAAATTAAAAACCATGATTACTTCTGTTTCACTGTTCTTCAATAAGTCTATCCCCTGATTTGGGTAAGAGTTGGCATGACGGCCCCCTCGGGAGGATAAATATGGTATGTGTTTAAAAGCTGTATTTATTCTGTCACTTGCAGGTTAAAGTGACTTCAGACATGAATGTTTGCTACAGGATATGTAAAGTAAAAGATCATTACACAAGACGATGTATCACATTATCTCAGGAACAAAACCAATTACTTTGATCATTAATTCCATGCCAGAAGGTCGTAAATGCAGCCAAGATTTCCTTTAATCCATAAATACTATGTGTATCATCTATCACTACACATTTTCATAAGAATGTTATAAAATAGCAAGCTACTTAATAGCTAGTTCATTAAATGTACCAATCCGTGGAACCTGATCTGTATTACTTTGTATCTGTCAGAATTCATTTCCATACCAGTAATTAAGTGGATGAGCTGTATAGCTCATGTTAAAATTTCAAGAATTACGAGTCTTTGTGTGCTTATTATATTAGAAAACCGACACAAAGCTATCAAATTTTACTCTATTTTGTAAAAATGCAAAGTAGTACTTTATGTTCCTTTTAAAATATTCCAATTCTAACATTTACCAGATAATGACAGGATATGTTTTCATGATATTGTATATATCAACCAAGAAGCCTATGTACCTGGTAATAACCTCATATACATAACCATTTGTCTATTTTGTTGTTGAGTAGAGTTAGTTAGTGAGTTTGTTGGGTTTATCACAACATCAACAACCTGAGTCATTCTCAGCTGGGATCTCCTTGTAGTTGCTGGTTGCTACCTCAATGAACAAGATACAGGAGGCCCATCACATGCATTCATGGCAATTAGGGCAGAATGTGTTGACCAAGGACACCACCACAATAACACAGACCAGTCTGTTTCTCAGCTTCCTGCCTGGGATAAGGAGCTTCAAAACCACCACAATAACAGACCAGTCTGTTTCTCAGCTTCCTGCCAGGGATAAGGAGCTTCAAAACATGCATCAAATCTTCATTGTGGCCCCTTTGAGAATAGTTAACAACTAATGCTATTTCTTAGTCCTGTAATAAGCCCATCCCCTGATTTCCTGTAAGAGACAATGCCTCTGGGCATATAGATGGATAAATACGGTATGACAGATATAAAATTGTTATAGTAAACTTTATAGAATTAAGTATTCTAGAGACAGCCAAGCGTACTTTACTTGTTTATCCTATAAACAGCCGAGGGGCCACTAAAATTTCAACTTCAATGTAGGGGATGGGTCTACTGGAAGACAACAGAACAGCATCTCTTTTTGCACTTTTGCTAAATCCAGTATGGACAGGCCAAGTGATCTAGAATAAACCCAGCACCAAGTTAGCAATCTTTTTATAGGACACATTCAATTGAAGAAAAAGAAAAATAGCTGTGATATCCCTAATTATATATCCATCTTTGAAACTGTCAGAAAATTTGATACTTTGCTGACTAGCTTAAAAACCTAAAAGGCTGTGGTATTCCATTCATGATGAGCCTTCTAACAGTCCACAATCAATTACCGAGGTACAATAATATGAGCCAGCTTGACGTCTTAATCATTCGTGAAAAAAATAGTTAGATTTTTTAATGTAGAACATTCTGTATAGGTGCCATTAGATATCAGCTCATCATTATTCAGCTGTAATAGCACAGACACCTGCACATGTATGTGAAACCAAATGGAAATTATTTCTTTTTAAGCATATAAAAAGCTTAATACTTCACAAATATTTGTTATTATGAACAAAAATATTTAGTCTTTGAATATTACCAGTTAATGGACCAAGTTATATGGCTGAAATTTACAAATGAAAAAAAAAAAATGAATTAAATTTCTTCTTTATACAACTGAAGTTTCAAGTGACATCACAATACCTTTCACTTGAATACTTGACAATAGATTTCCTAAGAGTGAAACTTTTGTGGTTTGTATGTGGAAGGGATGATTTTAAGGTTAAATACAGTATCTGTAATTCTTGCACAGACCAACCCATTACTGCATGATCTAGTTTTACATCTACATATAAAGTGCATCTGATTGTATTATAAAGATCACATGACTTTGAAAATAGGAATTATTTTTTTCCACTACCAGACCTCACAAAAGATTTGTCAGAGTTATCCTCCCCTAGTTCTAAGAAACTTATAATCAGTCAAAATTTTAGCGTGTCAGGTGATGTAATCTTTATTGTTATGTTATTGTTTTACCTGAAATATTAGTAAGTGTTTAATGACCTTGTGTTGGAGAAAAATAATTTATTTCCCAGAAATATGGTGTCTCGTGAAGATTACCAAACTCGTCCTGAGATAAGGTAAGAGAAATTCTTCTATGTTTAATGGGCCTTGATTTCCAGATACATATTCTATAATGTGGAGCAGGATATGTCTATGTGAAAACTTTTAGTGCGGCCTATACATACATGTATTAATTTTTTTAATTTATCTGACAATATTTAGCCAGGATTTCTGGCAATAAGCCCGCTACATTTATCAGTTTTCAATAGAAACACTAGATTGAGTAAACCAACCCCCAGGAATTGCTCTGCTGAATTCTTCCACTAGCTTATCTCCCTTTGATTTGTTGGACCCCCACCCCCCACCACCCACCCACTCCCCACCCCCATTCTCAGTATATTACAGGATAATGACAGTAGTGATGTAGTGATAGATCTATGAGAAATACATAAAAAATTTTTTAACAAAGATGGTAATCAATTCTTAGATATTTTCCACTAAATACCTAACTATAATATTGCACTGTAACATTCCATAATAGCGATTCTCTTTTATGTTTAATAATTCTCAATTTGATTAAATGACCACAAAAGAAGGCATGTTATTTATTTATTACTTTTATCTAACAGGGCTCTCCATATGCCAGATTTGGGGCCGATTCCCAATGCGAAATAGTTTTTTTTTCCCCAATTCAAACCCCAAGTTTTCCCAATTCTAAGGAAAACACTGCTATTTTTCCCCAATTCTAAGGGCCCTGGGCCCCAGTCCCAAAATGGGGTGTGAGAGCCCTGTCTAAATATTTCCTAATTTTTTCTTTAGACTTTCAGTGGACAAATTCAGGAAGGAGTTTGAAGCCACAAGCCTTGGGTTGTTGGTTACATAAGAGAAGTTTTTCTGAAATAGCTCACATACATATATATGAAGAATATATGAGATCCAGCTACCATGACAAACCAACCAGAAGCAACACTAGCTGGAATATCACAAAACAGAACTTAATATTCTCATCAATATTTCTAGCCTCTGTAACAGCTTTTAACTTCAATTACAAGATTGTCTTTAAGTACAGAGTGACAGGACAGCACCATATTGATATACTACAGTATGTGTGTTACTATAGCTTACAGCAGAAATCAATACCAAATGATCAGAAATTTTGATTAAAACTTCATCCATAGA